CCTGCTGTAACACAGTCAATAACATATGGGCATAAAAGGCCAAGTTTTTTTCCTGTTGAGTAGAATGAAAGTAAACTGAACTGTAAACCCAATCTTAATCCAAATATAATGATATCATTACCTGCTGCTTCACATTTAAAGAAAGAAGGGGTGTCATCATTTGCAGCAAATTTACAGAAAGAAAAATATTTCTTGTAGATCACAGTGGAATCCAGACAGTGCTTTGCACGAAGGACACATTGTCTCCAAACAGGAGCTGACTGAACTCTTGCAACCTGTTTTTACCCAGAATTCCAGAAACCTCATCTTGTTCCTGCAAGATATGGTATGTAATATTAATTCCTTTTCTCTCACCAATGTTGAGTAAAATTCTGTACCTAAATGAGATGCTGTAGCTCCCTCTCACCAGTCTTCTCTCTTTGTTTTTCAGCTTAGTATAGATGATTTCACATACTTCAGTGAATCCTCCGGTAACAAGAATCCGTTTCAAAATGTTCAGGCAAGCATTTCTCTCTTCTATTTCTTTGTATGCAGTATTTAAAAGTTTTAAAAAAATATGTAAAAAAGATGCAAACAGACAATAACTGGGAAAATTAAACTGAATTTCTGCATTTTTCCTATTTACATTTTTAATTGAGATTATTCTAGTTCAAGCAGAGTGGTTAAAGGATCCACAGGAAAGGAACAGAGTTTGCAGAAATGTGTTCTGTAACTTTTATTTCTGAAGATAATATTTTCAGAATTCATCGTAACTGGCAAAATTGTTCCTAAACTTGCAACAATTTTGAATTGTATAAAAAAAAAAAAAAAAGCCATAGGAAGAAAAAAGTTATAGGAATAAATTATTTATTCCTGATTTTCAGAACTGAGCATGTGTTTTATTTTATTTATTATTTGTTTTATTATGAAACTCATGAAGGGAGTTAACTGTTTCACATTTAAATGTAGTTAATGTATGACTAGATACTGGATTGCTTTAATCTTAATTTTAAAAAGTCATAATTTTGAATTGTAAAAAAAAAAAAAAAAAAGCCATAGGAAGAAAAAAGTTATAGGAATAAATTATTTATTCCTGATTTTCAGAACTGAGCATGTGTTTTATTTTCATAGTAATTGAAACTCATGAAGGGAGTTAACTGTTTCACATTTAAATGTAGTTAATGTATGACTAGATACTGGATTGCTTTAATCTTAATTTTAAAAAGTCATGCTATTTGAATAGTTGGAAATAAACTCCAGCCACAGAATCTAAGATGGAGTCCTCCTGAACCAATCAGCAACTTCAACTTCTGTCCTCACTGAGGAGGTTTACAGATTTTGTACACAGTGCCTTTGGTTGTACTTACATGACAGTTTATTGAACTGTAGTTAGACAAAGCAAGTGTTCACACTTGGAAGTCATAAAGGCACTCCTGCAGGCAGAGCAAGACAAACAGAGCTATTAAGAGTGTAACTGGTATCAGAGCACATGAGGAAGTGAAAATTCCCAAGCAGCACACAGCAAGCTGTACGTGTTATTAAATACATAAATATTCTCATATTATGTCTCTCTACATCAATGCTGTCTAAAAACTTTGCATCTTCCTTGTATCCCTGATACTGGAGATCTTATACCATATAACAGCATTTCAACACTGTTGCTGGAACAAAAGCAACTATTCAGTATGTCCATGGGTTTTCTGAGGCATGAATGGGCGTACACTTCATCTGCAGCGTAAGGATCAGCAGTTGTGTCCACAGGCAGAGGTACTGGCACTTCTCTGGTGTGCCTCATCTTCTCTGGGTTTAAAACCTATGCAAGGCTGTGTCTGGAGCAAGTTTTGCTGCCGCCTGACTGCAGAACTGGTTTCATTTCAGAAGCTGTGTAAAACATACCTGTGGCACTGCAAGCTCCTAATGATGTGCTGACCTTATTTCAGTAGGCCCTGGATGTTTGAGAGGAGGGATGTTAAAGTATTTAAAACTTTCTTCTTTGGCCTTGCAACCAGGACTCCACCAGCACTGCAGGTAGAGGTTAGAGCCAAAGGCTAGAGAGGAGTTCAGCCACTGATGGGTTTAAAAATCAGGTGGTGTACTGAGTGGTCTGGGGACCTACCGAGGGCTAGTGAGGAGGTCCTCAGCTGAGCAAAGGATTGCGTTTAAAGTAAATCTTTGGTCTGTATCTGGCAGAGCAAAGATTTAAACCCAGGTTTTCAAAAAAGCTGAATAAATGTCAGTAACAATCTGTTTGCTTTCTGACTTTGCCTCTGCTCCTTCTGTCCTGGAGCTGGGAAACTTTCTCATTACAGCTTCTGTAACACTGAGAAGTTTCTTTTCACAAACTGCTCACCTTAACCCAGCACTTCCTAGATTTGTTCTGTTGGACATGGCAATCTTGATACTTTTCTAGTATAGTTTTAAGGGGGTGAGGTGCTGTAACTTGAGTGGAAGAAAATGAGATGTCTTTTTCACCTAGGTGCTTATATGGAGAATTTTGTCAACATCTATTGTGTAGACTTGTGGCTTTTAGGGCCAGAAAGGATCTTTATAATCATCCAGTTCCATCTTGCATGTAACAGAGAGTACAAAAACTTGCTGAGCTACTATCTCATCAGTTGCACTCCAGCTACTTTTGTAAAGAAATCTGTTCTTAATCATGCTATGAAGGACTCTGTCATAATATTCACAGAACACAGGGCAAAATGAAGGTCAGGTCTGAATTCTCACTGAGGAAAACAGAATCCTCAGTGTTACATAATTGCAAATTTTTATACCTTCACACTCTATATTATACAAATGATTCATTAAACCCTAATAGATGTTCCATGTCACTTGAGTATCATCCTTTTGAACCCCAGAAATGTAAATTTATTCACAAACCTGAACTGGAGATCTCATTTAGAATGTGTATGTGCACATAGCAACACGTGTACTAGAAGAAGAAAGTATTTGTAAAATAGTTACAGACTTGCAACCCACAGAGCCATTTGCAGATACGAGATTTGTTCAGCCACTTCAGCAGCGGTTTTGAGCTTTTTTTGATCAATCAGTTTGTGAGCAGTTAAAGAATTCTAGCTCTTGTTAATAAAAAGGAATCTTACAGATATATCACTTGTCTTAAACATTCAAAGAAACTTTAATTAAATAATAAAATACAAAAATTAGCACTTGGGGAACATTTTTGGCAAGCGGTCACCTACCCTACAAACTATTTTTCTTTAATATTAGCTTTGGCGTTCCTGCAACAGTGCTCAGCTCCTTAGAGCTGCAGTGTATAGTAACCCACTCCAATTAGTAGCCAACTGTGCAGTTGCATAATTACTATTGTAAGTCCTTGCCATTTGTGGTTCTAGATCTGCATTGTATCCTCACACAGTGGTAACAGACTAAGGAATACTATTTAGTCATGTGTGATACAGAGGTCCTACTATAGTTATGATTGCCTACCTCTTTAACTCTTTGAAGTTTGGTTGGTGACTTTTTTGACAAGGGGACATGAAGAGCTGCATAATAGTCAAGATTTAAGTTCAACATAGGTTTATCCAGTGACATGATGGTGTTTTGTTCTACAACCTTTTCTAAAAACCTACTAGTTTTTTATTTTTTAATTCTGGTCACTATCAGCCACTGAACTGCCATTTTCAAGGAGCTGTTGTGCCTCCGAAGGTTACTGAAAGGTAACAGGCAGTTCTTAGTCTACTGTCTATTATTATGTAGGTAAAACTTGTGTGGGTGCTTTTTATCACTCTGTGCTCTGCTAAAATCAATTTACATTGAATATCTTTGGTTGTCCAAGAGGTTGCACCAAATGTTGCTTCTGCAATTCATCAGTTAGCCCTTGCCTTTAACAGATAATTTATACACATAGAATCATAGAATTATAGAATGGTTTGGGTCGGAAGGGATCAACATTATCTAATTCCAATGCCCCTGCCATAGGCAGGAACACCTCTCACTGGACCAGCTTCCACAAGGCCACATTCAGCCTGGTCTTGAACATCTGCAGTGATGGAGCATCCACATCTTCCCTGGATCACCTGTTCCAGTGTCTCACCACCTTCACAGTAAAGAATTTCTTCCTTACATCTGATCGAAATCTACCCTTTTACAGTTTGAACCCGTTACCCCTTGTTCTATCACTACATGTCCTTGTAAAAAGTCACTTTCCAGCTTTCTTGTAGGCACCCTTCACATATTGGAAAGCTGCTGTAAGATCTCCCCTTAGCCTTCTATTCTCCAGGCTTAACAACCCCAACTTTCTCAGCTTGTCCTCATAGGAAAGGTGTTCCAGCCCTCTGATCATCTTTGTGGCCCTCCTCTGTCATATGTCATATGTGTTGGGGCTCCAGAACTGGATGCAGTACTCCAGGGGGGATCTCATGAGAGCAGAGCAGAGGAGGAGAATCACCTCCCTCAATGTGCTGGTCACCTTATTTTGATGCAGCCCAGGGTGCGCTCGGTCTTCTGCGCTTCACTCACACATTGTTGGCTCATGTTGAGCTTTTCATCAACCAGCACTGCCAAGCCTTTCTGCTCAGGAGAAGCTAGATTCCTAGATATTTCCAGAGCCAACACAGGAGCCTTTTTTCCAACTAATACTTTGACTATAGGACTATCTATCAGCTTTGATGACTAACATAAACTAGTTCAGAACAATGAGTATGCCTACATGACTTTTTATAGATGGATGCATGAGACTTTAACAAAATTTTTATCAAAAGGCTTTTAATGATAGATGTGAATTTACTCCATTCCAGCTTCAAATTGTGTAGGTGTAACTCAATCCACTTAATATAACATTGAAAACAGAGCTGGGCAAGTAAGTCCAAGCACAGCTTTATCATAATGCAGCTACTTGGCTTCAGGTTGGCTAGAAATGTGGACAAAGCCATCCCACATCTACCTTCAAAAAAACCTGAACAGTGACATATGTAATCCAGGAGTGAAGTTTCTTATAATATTTCATGCAGGAGAGGTGCTTCAGGGGACACTAAAGAAGGTGAATGTACTTATAATCACAGTAGGGTGCTTATAGACAGGTTATAGATTCTGGCATTAAATGTAGGAAGTTCTGTTACCAGTCCAACAGTTCAATAGGAGGTTTTCTTCCCTTTCCCTTTCCCTTTCCCTTTCCCTTTCCCTTTCCCTTTCCCTTTCCCTTTCCCTTTCCCTTTCCCTTTCCCTTTCCCTTTCCCTCTCGCAACTCTTGTGTGGTATTCCTTTGCTTAGTCCTTTAGCAGGATGGAAAATCATGTTTCTCAAGACTCCATTCTTCACCCTGTTTTGGAGCTCTCATGTTTTGAACATGCATGGCAAAATGTGTAAAGCAACAGAGTGGCCAATCTCAAGATGGATAAACAAGAGGCGTGGGGTCAGAATGGCTGTCTGAGGCTGATGAGTAGATACCCAGCTGTGTCTGCCCTTCAGATGGAAAACAATTGAATACCAGTGGCTGAAAGCTGAGACAGATGCCAGTGTAGAAGTGGTTAGGAACAGAGGCACAATTCAGATATTACTCAGTAATGATGCATTTTATATCTTATTCTGCAATAAATGAGTAATCTGCTTAATATATATCGTTGGAAGAATTGGCTGCTGCCATTCTGGATGCTGCTTAAGGGGGCAAGGGATTAAAATAGTGAAAATAAAATAAAATGGTTGACTTGCTTATAATTTGAGCTCTAAATTCATATAAGCAAACAAACCAAAATTAAATAATACCATCTTTTCCTTCCAGGCGGTGCTAAAAATGCCAGTCAAAGACCTATGGACCAGATCAGTGCTTTGTGGCTCTGTTTTCTGCAGTTATTTTGCTGTCAGTCTGTCAAATCAGATGACACTGCATTATGCTCTGTGATGAACATCTATAGAAACGTGAAAATAACTAGCCTTTGCCTAGGAGGGAAAACATCTGAGCAATTATAAAGAACCAGAGCAGGTCAGAAAAGTGGTAGGCAGTCAGAGAACAGAGAAAAAGGAAAAAGAGTAGTAGGAGGAAAACATTAGCAACACATCACTTGCATCAGTTAGATGGGAGAGAGTCTCAACAACTTGAGTATCCGAATGTGGGATCAAGTGACAGACTCAGTCTCGATCTAGAAAATGGGAAAGCAAAGCTAACAAGTTGTAAACTAGGACTCAATGTGAATATTAGAAGATGTTTTTTCATTAAATTTGGTGTACATTAATTTGGACCATTCTCAAGTCTCCATCTTGCATTTTCTTTCCCTGAATATTTCAAGTTAATTTTATTATCAAGAGAAATATTTGTAAAGATGTTTTTTGACTGGGCAGGTTTTGAATTTATAGAATGAGAATGTTTTTAAATTCATTTAATTAAAATGTTTTCATCAGAAACTCAGCTATGAGTATTATAAACAAAGTGATAGATATCCTGAAGCTTAATTATCTGAACCAGTTCAGCCTGGGCTTTATAATTTGTATTTTGAGTAGAAAGACAGAAAGTACATGACATGAAGCTTGTCTGTGTGTCTGGAGGCTCTGTAGATGCTGAAACATGTAGCTGTCTTTAATTAATAGTTGCAAATTAGACATTTGTCTGTACCATGAGCTGTACCAGCAGGATGCACATAAAGGAAGAGTATTTATTATGCAAAGTATGACTCTGTACTGAATAGAGCTACTGAAACTTGAGGTGTCTGATATTGACCCTTCTCTGAAGGTGTTTAGTTAGATGGTCATCTGATGAGCTTTGCTTCTGGAAGTTTTCATAACATGTCTTTCCAATACGTTCTTAGCTTAAGAACTTCTACATCATCTATCTCTCCTCTTCCACCACGTGTGGAAAGGATGATAAGAATTTTATGTCACTGAGTGCCTTAAGCTTGCCCCAAGAAGGTTCAGGAACAAGAGCAACACAAGTGTCACTTCACGGTCCCTTTGCAGAAGCAGCCTGAAGGCATTATCAGGCTGGTAAGAACTCATGTAATGTTTATCGTGGGGGTTCCTCACCTTGAATACTAAACTAAGGACACATTTAAAAAAGGTTTATGTTAATTATTAAGCAAGTAAATAAACTACCCATAATTTTATTACAGGAAAGTCTTCGGTCTTCACCTTCATCTTTAGTTTTACCAGCTGTTGACTGTGAGGCTACCAGGCATCTTCTGAGTTTTCTTCAGGAATCAAAAGATTGGAAGTTAACACATGTAACTAACCTCAACATCTCTCAGCTGGAAGTGAACACGTCTAAACCAAACTTACTGGTGGTTCAGCTACAACCACTTGTCAGGTACGAGCCTGTAAAAAAAAACCCAAACGTGACCCACATGTGTGCATGATTCTTAAAGCTTTTGAAGATGTCATTTGTATTCAGGAAATTTGAAACCAAAGTGGAAGCTTACAGGTTAGCAAAGTTGTTTTTCTTGCAAGGATGAATTCAGTGTTTTTTGAAGTCCCCTGATGAGCTTACCAGGTGTAATAGATTAATTATGTTGAGAAAGTCAGTGAGGCGTTCCTATTTTGTGTGCCTCATTATATGAGAACAAAGGAACAACTAATAAAACTAAATGGCAACACACATTTAGCAGAAAGGCTGAATTATTTTATGCAACACATGATTAACCTGCAGAATTAATTGCTAGAAGGTATTCCAAGGGTAAATAAAACTAGCAGGATAAATAAGCAAGCAAATAAATATGCAGACAAACCTCAAGTTAATATAAATAAAGACACTGGTTTCCATCACTCTAGAAGGAAGAGGCCTGTAATTCTTCATTTTTTCCAGGCCTATGACAACTGTGATCTAACAGAGGTAGAGAGAGATTGTTCCTTCAGGTGAATGTATATTTAGGAAATATAAAATGTGAGTGTATTGGGTCTCTCTGCTCAGCTTCTCCTGGTCTTTCTTCTTCCTAGCCTGCTACATGTCAGCATATGGTGCATGTACCAATTGTGTCCTGAGGAAGTGTGTCCATAGCTATCATGTCACCACACAAAAAAGACATATCATTTTTTTTGTACAAATATTAGACAACAAATAAAAAGAAACTCTTTCTGCTCTTGGTCAAAATGTCAGTAGTATAGCTTTTCTGCAGCTAAGGAAGTTTGAAGGGTTTGAGGAAGCTGCTGAAAGAAGGAGATGAGAGAATGATGGAGGGACTGATGTTGGCAGTAATCCCTTTACTAGTCAGTGTTTCGTACACTTGTGTACAAAATGTTTAATTTGGTTTTTTTGTTTTTTTTTAGTGGTTTAAATGAGATTTCCACCCTGGAAGCAATTGCTGAAAATGGTAAGCGTTATGACAAAGACATAACTAACATTTAAACACTTAAGCATGTTTTTTCAGTTGAGCAGATTGTATTCTCTACTTCCTGAGTTTTGCTGTAACACTACTACTTAAAGGTTTTCTTTCCCCTCCTCTATAGTACTTACAAGCAGTCAATTATCACAGTGTTGAAGTACTGAATGTCTGATTCAAAATCCACCAGAATGGTTACAGCTCTGTACCTGAAGTGTAATGATAACTCTGCTTCAGGCATGGGCCTTTGCTCATGCCCTGAGATCCTCCCAGCTCGGAGTACAAACCCTCCATCTCTGTGCAGCCCAGACTGCCTTCTTGGATCTCACCTCTCACACCAGCACCTGGAGGTATGAGGTTCATCCAGCAGTTCAAAGGCCTTGGTCTCAACAGAGGGTATCTGCATGAATAGGAAATGTTTTTCTAATCTTTGTAAAACAATACTCATGCCCTTCATAGCCTTTGATTTTAGAGTCTTTTAATTGTTTTGGGTTTTTCTTAATTTTTTTTTTCCAGGGCTTTTGCTTCCTGCTCTAAATTAGAGATCGAGCTATAACATCTGCAAAATACTGTAGTGGTAGTTTCAGGGGTGTGTGGTGCAGTGGGCTGATAACTAAAGAGTGCCCTTAGTGCCTATGGCTGTTTCTGCCCAGAGCCGGGGGTGTAAAATCAGAACCAGATTTGAAAATAAGGGGAAAATACCTTAGTATTAAAACCAGGGAAAAATACCTTAGTTGCAATCAGTGATGTGCCCTTTTCCCTTTATTTTTGCACTACTCCAAAGTGATTGTGTGTTTTTTCTACTCAAATAAACAGACGGATCTCCATCTCTGAATTGCAGAGGAGTTGTTTAGTTCTCTTTTCTTGTCCCCAGAGTATATTAGATAGGAAAAGCCTTGGCTTAATATTAGCCTTGGCTAAACATTAGCTTTTTCTTTATGGGACATTTATCTCATCAGCTGCACAAATTCAGGAATAAGCTTCTCAAACCCTGTTTCAGTCCAGTTTGGTTTGGAACGGCAAAGTTACCCAGGCACCTGTGGGATGGTGGTGGAACAGGTTATACCTGCTTCCTGGTTAGTGGCAGCTGGGAAAGGCGTGGGGCTCAGGGAAGATGTGCCATTTTGTGTGGCCAAGAGCAAAATCTGCATTTCCTATTCCACATCTCAGCTGTGCTCTAGAAGAGTGGGAGTGTGGGCTGAATCCTCACTTTCTGGTTCATTTGCCAAAGCAGCCGCTCAATGCATTGCTGAATAAAAACTGGAAATAACATCAAGAGGAAGTTTTAATTCAAACAAAAGTTACTGAGCCACAGTTCTTTAAAGTTATCCCACTGAAGCTCTGTGCAGCAAATGGAGGAGAGTTGAAAGAGAGTCATTCCAAGAGTACTAGATAAGTGTCCTAAACATGGTCTTCCAAGTCATGCAGTCTGGGCTCCAGCAAGTCTATGTGTCCAGGTACTGTGTGCAGCACAACCACAGTCATTTGCCAAATATTGCTGTCAGTATACCCTTCAAGGTCAGAACTGCTTGCAAAGTCATGAGTAAATAGTGTTTGTTACAGCAGGACTGCTGCTAGATCCTAACTGGATAAAGCAACAAAAAATACCATTTGTCACATACCCGCAGTGAATGAACCCATGAATATTGCTTATAATTATTTTTTTTTCAGTATCAACAGTAAACCCATAGAAATACACTGCAGAACTGTAGTAGGCTGCCTAGAAGTTTGTCAGAGCAACTTCTTTCCTTCTTGATGTAGACAGTTTGAAAATCTGATGTAATAAAATGCCAGAGAAATCTCTCCTGCTGTTTTACTCGCTACAGCCAGGAAGCTCTGTAAGATGGAACAAATGGGCTCAGATTCTGCCCAAGGGAAATGTGCTGTTCTGAAATATCTAGAAGCTGGAGTAAACGTTTTCATGTTATGAAAATAAGGCACATTACAAAATCCAAACTGGAATTTAGAATCCAAATCTGCTGAAGTTTCAAGGGATTCAAACTTATGGTTTTCTTTATGGTTATTTTCAGTATTTCTTCTTTCTTTCTTTTGTATGAGGTAAAGTTTGACATTATTATGCAGCCTTTGCCATTTTTCCTAAATGCTTGCCTGCTCAGGAGAAGGTTGAATTGTGTCATGTCAGTCTTACCTGCTGAATCCAGTTGAATCAATAGCAAAGCTGCATAGGACTCCATCTGCTGAGGAAGCTCTTCAATTGCTTTTGTGTCTGTTCCTTTTTCCACTCTGATTCTCAGCCTCTTTCTGCTCTTTCTCTTCTCTCTCATTTTTTCCCCCTCTCATCTTGTTCTTCTCTGTTCTTTCTCACTTGTTCATAGTTTATACTCTTCTTTTTTTTTTTTTTTCACTTTTCTCCTTTCAGAACATTTTGTCTCATTTAATTTCTTCCATCCATGTATAAAATCACAGAAAGAAATTAAGTTAGGTTAGAAATTAATAATAGCCCTAGCCCTGCACTCCCTGGTGAAATTCAAGTTATATGTCTTCAATGAATTAGAAAGGTTTAATTCTTCCACCAGGGCATAGATGCAGACAGTTATGCTAATTGGAAGGTGTTATCCTAGACAAACTTTTACATTCATAGGTCTATGTAGCATTTCCTTGATTCATGCCAATTTCAAAACCACAAAAAAACCCACTTCAGTAGAACCACTCTGAAATCACTCAAACACCAATATCACCATCTGAAGATGCTTCTTGTTCCATTAAAGAATGAGCCTGGGATGACTAATGTTCCCATGTAGGCATGTAATTCACTGCTCTAAAATATGGTGGACAACCTGGGCCCTTCTCCTAGAAGAATTTGCAAATACTGTATAAGCAAGGTAGAGTCTTGATCACAGGCAAACAAAGATCTACATCAGCTCTCTTGTCTTACAGCAGTTTCTCTGGAGGAATTGTCTCCAGAATCTTCCGAAAGGCAAGAGTTATAGATGCTGCTGGTAACTATAGTTACACGTAGCTCCTCACTGAAGTGAAATGCAAATAACGTGTTATTTCAGAAAGCAATTGGTTGCTTTAATGAAACAAAAAACAATTTATGCATTTTTCTATGTATTATTTTTTCTTCTTCAAATTTTAGCTGAGGCTGCTGAGAATTTCCAGTGAGTTGCACTCTCTGCATATAGAATACAAAATTACATTATGTAATGCCTTGAATCTCCACATCCAATATAATTACACTAGTAGTTATATAAGCAGTTGTTTTTCTGAGTAAGTCCATTTTTTTACAGAAGATCCTTTTAACAATAATTTTTTAGAAGGAAAATTTACATAGCTATGATTCTTGACGAATATGAAGAAATCAGTTTGGTTAAAACCCTGCAGAAAAAACAGTGCTTGCATTTTTACAAAAGCTAAATACTTTACTCAGCCAGGAGACCATAATTATTCTAAATAGAAGAGGTTAAAAATGACAATAATATAAGGTCCTCTTCCAAGATGTGAAAACGAAATACAATTTATGTAAAGTATAACCTCAAAATCTGAGAAGCCTGCGTGTCCAGGCTATAAAATACTCATTCACCAGACTGATAGGTGGATGAGAAGTAGGAAGGCACTTCAAATAGTAAACGTGATTCTGCTTTCCTGTTTCTCCATTAGTCCCAATAACAATAGTAATACTGGTTCTTGTTTCACAACTGTTGTGCTCCCTATTGTAAGCAGATGTTAATACTTTTGCTTGTAGCTTGAAAACATTTATGAGTTGGAATTATTTGTCACAACTGTCCATGGTTTCAGAAAAAAAGATCTTCTGCAGAGGTGTATTTGGACCTCATTGAAAGGTCCTCTCTTCCTTATTTGACTTTTCCCTCCTTTTCCAGAATTATTCCACCATATTTCTCCTTTGGCCTCCACTGTAGCTAACAGCACAGTTTTCCCTGTCCTGGTGAGGGTGAAAAATCAGGGTTTAAGTCCGCTGAAGCAGAAAGGAATATTGCTATCAATATTATACATATCATTCCCAAAACTGAACACTACGTTTTGAGTATTGCTTCTCAGTGATTGGTTGTATGTACTTTGTAATTCACAGAGTAATACTACTTCAGCTTTATTATTTGTTTATTAACACTGGTCACTTGACTAGTTACCGTAGTATATGCATCCTGCTCTCATCTCTTAAGTGATTTCTTTGGCTCTTGCTTTTAATTGCCTAAAGTTCAGCCTTTCAGGAATGGTTTCTATTGTATTTACTTTTCATTCCTATTTCTAAACAGTTGTGATTTTTTTTTTGTGTTGTCTCACTGAAATTGTGCATTTTTCAAGATGCTAAATGTGTCTTATCCCATTTTTACCTATTGATACACAAAATGGTACAAGCACCTAAATATCTTCAAAAAAATAAAGAAGCTTAAACATCTAGCTCATTACTTCTCCAGCTACTGTAGGATTTTAGCTTTCTCAGCTTACATAGTCTGTTAAATTATACATGCTTCTATTTATAGACAAAATAATTGGAAGACTGACCATGGATCTGCAGGAACGAGGGATTCATTTTTCAGTGATATATACTGCAGTGAGACCTTCAAGGGTGAGTAATCCTCAGTGCCTGAAACTGTTGGATTTTTGGCATCTAACAACTTAATGTTTACAGAGGAATGCTACAGATGATTACAAGCAAGCAATCTGTATGATGTGAGGTTTTGACCAGAAATGATTGCATGAATTTTCATGTACGATAGCTATCTTACGGAACTATTGAAGTTTTACTGTTCTAGGAAACCATAAATATGCTGTTGTCTTTGGAAATTATTTTTAAGAACTCTAATTTTAGATTTATTTTTCCATTTAATGGTTTTATAGTAAATTCTATGTGGAACCATATCGAGATTCTTAGTTTGGCTGGTCAGTAAAGACAGTGTTGTTAATTAATTGAAGGCTACTGATGTATCAATTTTTAAGGTAACTGGTTCCCTTCCGTTTGGTCGATATTTAGTATTTACAACAGGAAGATAAAGTTTTCACCCTTGCTGATGGTTCAAACATCATTTATACATCACATCATATTGTATCAGCAGCAAGTAGCACTACAGAATAGTTAGTTATGCAGCATTATCTGTTTTGTAATCAAGAAATACTCATTTTAATTTTAATGTGCTTAAATGGAAGACAGTCATGCCTTGAGGAAAGCAGGATACAGTGTCCACTAAGAGGAGAAGCATATGTGGGATGGGCTGTGTCCAAAAAAACTGCAACTTTGAAAGAAATATTTGTTCCAGCAGTGGCATATCTTAGCTCCTAATAATGGTGCTTTTGATCAGCATGTGATTTTAGTCCAAATCAAAGTCAATGTCATTTGAGAATATGGAATACACGGTTTCCTTGTTTTAGGCAACAGGAAAGCCATTAGTGGGACTCTAGATCTAGTTTGAGCACTGCAGACTGGATCTTGAGAACCTGAAAGGTATTTATGAAGGAACATTAGGAAAAACTCACACAGTCCTTAACACAAGAACAAACCCTAGAAAACCTGTTTCAGATGAGTATGGAGTGAAGTCCATTTAGCTTATCCAAAAGAAGAGTAAGAGGAAACTTGACTGCACTTCATAAATGTTCTTTAAGCCAAAAGTGGATGAGCCCCCTAAAGAGTTCTGTGTTTGATCAGAAATAATCTGGGTTTTTGCAGGGAGGTAGGATCTTGAATCTCTGGATATCTAACAAAATATGTCAGAATAGTCCCTTCAGACTCTATTAAAAAGGCTGGTTCTACTAAAGAAAAACAAGAAATTTCTTCAGTAATCCACCCTGTGAAATTCATTTCCAGAGACTGGGTTTTGAAGACCAGACTTAGAATACGAAGACAGAGCAGCATGAGGAAGCAAGCTCAGATTGATAGTCACCGTGCTGTATGTTTTTATGGTAAAGAAGAGAACATGAGTCCAGGATTTTTGATCTGCTCTTTTTGCACATTTTTTTTTAACAAAGATCCAAAATAAAAGTAAACTATTTAATTATTGTGGCTCCTTAATGTTTGAAATCAAAGGGACATGGGTGTTCTTAGCTGAAAATTGCATTTAGAACAATTGGAATGAAAAATATTTTTAATTAATGAAAGAATTGGCTTTGAGAAGGAATTTTTTGAGCAATTTAAAAAGTTTGTTGAATTTTAAATCTATGCATATTTCAACAGGCTTCCTAAATTAATGTGACTTAGTTTGAGCAACCAGAGCACTTTAAAATAATTAAAGCAATGTATTTTAAGATGTTCTGCATTTTTTAAAAATAAGCAGTTTTAACTTTTTTTCTTTAATTCTGTAAATTCAATGCCATATAAAGCCATTTGAAGCATATTTTTTTCCCCTCGCAATAACTTTCAGTTATTTCAGTGGATTCAAGGTTAACAGGTTCTGTACAGAGATAAGAAAAGGCAAAACAGAAAGTATCTTTGAGTGTTTGTTAATCTTTACGTTTGCATGTCACTTCTTCTTAGTGTGTATTGTATATCTTTAGCTGTGGTTGAACTGCAGAAGATGTGAACTGTTTTGTAACCTTAAGATAAAGGGTTAACTCTCTTTGCTTAAGCTATAGTGACCTAGACGTTATAGGGTCAATTCCAGTGATAACTAAGATCACTATATATAAGAAGTAAAAGGCTTTGATCATATGGGAAAAGAGTTTACATTACTTGGTACATTTGAAAATCAATAGCAATCATTCAGTACGAAATATTTGCATTTACTAAGCTGGCTTTTTACTTGTTAATGAAGGAAATGAGCTTTAAGCACTTTAAAAAACACTTAAAAAAAAAAGACAGCTCCTTCTGATCAGGTAAATTAATTTTATGCAATGAAGCTCCCAAATGCTGGAGCTGTGAGATACTTCTCTCCTTATAGCTTTGCCTCCTTGGTACTGGGCAGTTAATGGCTTCATAGCAGTGTCTTTTTACATTCTCTCATTCTTCTGTTGCCTAAAGCAGAGAAAAAGAAATGTGAGAAATTCATATATTGGAAAAGATTCCAGACTGGTGTTGGCTTCGCAGAAAATGAATTAATGAGATAGGAAGCAAAACTCCCCTATGACTGAATCTCTTTCCTGATTTGATGAGAAAGAGCAGTTTAGTTTAGTGCAGCCACAGATCCCCTTGGGCTATCAGAGTTATCAGTTAATTACCCCAATGCTTGATGGAGATTTATTCAGGCTGGTTCTTGTTCTGTTCCACTTTCAGTATTTGAACCTGGAAGACACAATTAAGACCCTGAAACAGAGGCTGTTTGGTGACCTACATGAAATGGTTTCATTAACCAGTTGATGGTTCCTCTGGATATCCCATCATGTCATAAAGGAGCTGCCTTGCTCCAAAAAGGCATCTTGCAAGTCTTGTTCCAAAATGCTTTGCCTTTGAGGTCTGACTGAGTTGGGCTGACACTGAGAGAGTGATTTGTATCACCTAATTCTGGGCAACTGAACTGTAAATGTCTACATCTGAAGTCGTCAACCAGGGTTCTCATTACAGGCAAAGGCTTTTTAGGGCATGAACCTTCTGACCTATGTTGCAGAGGACTGCTGCAGGATGAGATGAAACTCATCCTTCAAAATCTCCTTTATTCTGACAACCATAGAGGCAGTCCTCATGCTTAGGTCAGATCTTGACATACATAATTATTCAGACAACTCTCACTCAACTTTTCTCATCTTCTTCCCCATTAAAAACCAGAAACTTATCCCAAGAATTGAAGAGTCTTCTGCCAAGACCTTTCTTCCCTTTGGAACTCATTTGATAGCTTGTATTTCTTCAGGGGAATCATATCCCTCTGCAGTCCTTATTCCACTCTTGCATCAGGAGTTCTCATGAATATCTGAATTTTTGTGTTCTTGGGAGCTATGGTCAAAGTCACCCTTCTACTTGTGCTTGCTGCTAGTTAGTTTTTTGCCTTGTGGTTGTAATGCATAATTTTCCCTGTGCTGTTGTAATTGGAGAGGTTAAACAGGCTGCAGTGATTGAATCATAGATATGCTTCAAGTCATAAATCTCATCATGTTTCCCATCCTTCAGATCCCCATGGTGTCTCTGTCACATTTTCACAATTTTGCTTCTGAAACTTCTTCAAGACAGTGTTAAAGTTATTTCTTCCTGACTGGATGCTGAGGAACCACATAGTGCCAAAAGTAGATTTATGGCTACTTCCCAGCTGATACTCATTTTGCTGACTCCACTTATTACAGATGCATTGTGAAGTGCTGTTTAAACCTTCTCTGTTGCCTCCACATTTTCAGAGTTTTAGTCACCGTGGGCTTTTGACTGCTTCATTCTACAAGCTGTCTACTCGGGTTGGCATTTAAGTGTGTAGAGTCTTTGATCCCACTCAGAGCCCAGCAATACGAGTTACAGGAACTTTATTCAGCTGTAAGTAACATGGGCATCTGCAGCACAAGTGGTTGCATTTGACTCTCATAAAGTGTCTCTTGAAGGTATCCTCAGGTACTACTGATGAGCAGCCCAACCGAAAAGAGTATAAAGAGGTTTTCTATTCGTTGACAAGTGCCTGTGGTTGCATTTTCTTTGTTACTACCTTCTATTTAATGCATTTGTGCTGCATCTTCTACTGACATTCAGCTCCTTTCTTCTTTGTTGGCCATTCAAATCACCACTAAGGAAACTAAATTCTGCAACAGCAACCCCACTGTCTTCCCAGCTTCTCATTAATTAAATGCTTTTAGCCATTTAAGATACTCAAACATTACATAATGGGATTTTTTTCCATGAACTGAATGTTAGAAAAATGCTTCTAATGCCATTTATTAGAGCTGGGGTTGCAGGGTGCATGTTTTCATGAATCCTTAAATATGAGAATTGCCTTATCTCTTGTATTTTTTTACGTCTGAAGGAGCAGTTATAGTGTGACATGGTATAATAAAGCATTAGTGCTTCCAACCTAAAAGAAGAAACCACAAGAATTCCTCATCCTTCAGTCGTCTCCTCTCTCCACTTAAAGAATAAAAAATAAACTGTCTAAATGCAACATATTAAAATCTCAAACTATATGTCAAAAAGAATTTTGAAACACAAAGATGAACTTGGAATTAGTGACAACATAAAGCCAAATGAGTCTCTGTGCTGATAATCTCTGTGGTGGAACACAGAGAAGTTCTCAGTTCAGACTTTTTCAGTATCAGCAAGACTCAAAAACTTCTGCTTGTTGCTGAGGTGGTAATAGAATAGATTTCAGAATAAATCCATATAATGAATAGTATTATATTACTAATGTCAGATAATTTTCACCTAATTTTTAAATAAAATAAGAATCTGCAAGACTATAAATTGTCAAGATTTCTGATGTATAACTTATGTTATGTAAATTTTAATATATATATATAAAAATTATAAATTAGTTTGGCCTTAATCCTAGAGGAGCTGGAAGTGGCAAGTGTGACATAAGGCTTGAAAAGAGACTCTGTATCTGAAAAAATGCAGCCAGGAAATGTGTCTTCTGTACTTCTGTACTGGTTGAGACCGAAGTCACAAATATATGAGTGTATGAAGAAAATATGATACAGATTCAGTGTTTGAGAGTCCTAAAATACATAAGTAAA